TTTTTTCTTGACAGAGAGAAACGCGAGAAGGAGTTGAACGAATTTTTGAAGCAGCGACAGAACAGAGTTGGATTAAGGATCAAACAACGAATACAATCTATCAACGATGCCATGTCTTCCTCTAATCTGGAACTCAAATAAAACTTATAATAACTTTGTAAACAGAATGACTGACAAGGAGACGAATCCAAGTTTGATTCAAAATTCTTGCAGTTATGTTTATGTGACGTTTGCCTCCCGTGGTTTTGATTGTAAATATATTAGGTATATATTGTGTACATTTGTTAATGTATTTATTTTTGTTGTTTGTAATTTTCAAACCACTTATCGATGTTAGCATTCTTTCACACAAGCAATGCGTTTGTACCCCATTGAAGTGGCAATTAAAAGAAAACTGCATTTGTAGTTCATTGATTTTCTAATAACTTACAGCCACTAGGTCTAATGCCTACACGGAAATATTTAAGTTGATTTCCAGCACTCAGTATTTCTTTAGAAACGCGCAATGCGATCGTTTTGCTCAGCCACCTCGAGAGCTCCATTTTAATAATCGAATTGTAATAAGCAGGTTGAAATGTAACTTTTACCAAGCTGAAAGGCAAAAAGAAAAGCACGCGGGAGGGGATTCAGAGCCAATTTTTCTAAAATTTAAGGTAGCTGTGAACCCGCTTCCACAATTTTTTCAGCTTTGTGATAAGTCCAATTTTGACATGCTTGGTACAATTCGATAACAAGCAAACAAACGAAAAATGGTAATACCGGGCTCGTTTTGGAACCTTGAACACTAAACTTAAATTCAGCTTGTCTTCACAAGGTTACTCCATTGCTATAGTAACTTGTATGGTCATGACGTCTATTCGCCGGTGTTGGACATTTTTTGACATCACTGGCTGAGAAAAGAAAAGTGTTGTCGATCCATCAAAGTAGAAGTGCTGAAAAATGTTGGAAACTGTTGCCTGCCACACAGAGTAAACGAGGAAAGACACAAGTTAGTTTATGCGAAACTAATCTTGATATGGCCTTAACAAACGTGACTTTTTCCGTTGTGATTTGCGACAACTTTGTTTAAGCTTCACGAAGTTTTGAAGGGAGTGTTTCACGGCTCGGCGCCTGTCTGTATTATATAATCGCCTGTGCACGCTTTTTAAACAGGCCCAGATTTTCTTTGTTTATGAACCAATTGTAAGCAAGTTACCTTATTTCGCATGCAAACAACCGTAAAATCATCAACCGTAGAATAAAATCGTACGGGTCAAATTAATTAAATTCATCGGTCGAAAGTGTCGGTAAAATCTGTAACGTTACCTTAACCGAACTGATTTATTTTGTTATAGACGTTTTCAGATTAATGGTTAACCTTAAGAAAATACACGTGACGTCCAAAGGCTATTTTGGCCTCGTGGCCAAATGGCAAGGTTCCAAAGATTTAGTAAGTTTAATGTAGGATCAAGATGTTTGGATACATTGTACGATCGTTTTTAAGGTTAATTTTATGTGGAAAAGCTCGGACAAATGTAAGTTGTTGTTTTGTATTTTGCCTGCAGCCTTGTAAGATTTCTCCTTTAATTTTTTACCTTAAACATTTACGCTTTGTTGTATTTTCGTAGTTTTAGATTGTTCGTAATTAAATACTGAAATCCAAGTTCTGTCCAATTGTTTGGGTTTCAGGGGCACCCAACGGATCGTTTCGGTAAATTATCTGTTCGGAAGGCCTTTAATCCCCTCTGATTT